TTTGGCAAAGTGATAGTTCAGGGGAAGAGGGATTAAAGAAAGATTATTTTAATCATTTTAGCTTTCTTTGTCTCCATAAGAAAGTTGGTGGTTGTCTTTCTCTTCCTCTGAGTTTAGGAATTATATCATAATACCAACTCATACTAGTTTCAAAATTATATATATGTATATTTATATATTTTAAATTAGCTCTCTATAGGGAGTCATTACAATAGTCAGGGCAGATATCATCGTCTCCAATTAGCAGAAGAAGAAACTGAAACTCAGAAAGATAGCTGCTAAGTTGCACAGGCAATTTCGTGAAGAGCTGGGGCTAGAATCCAAATTATTGCCAAGTAGAAAACTGCTGCTTTCAGGGCCTTGCTGACTCTTCCTTGCAGAGCAGGCAAAGCCTGTTCTGGATGGTTACACAACTCCAGGAACATTGTTAACTATTAAGAAACAACTTTAACTCTGCAGTTGAATGCTGAGATTGGCAGGGACTGGAAAGCATATATTAAAGCAAAAGTGCTGCCATAAATTAGTTTTGCTCTCAAATAAAAGTCCTATTTAACAATACTACTTCCCCCTCATTAAAAAAATAATTAGGAGCAAATACAGAACACAAATAAGAAGCTAAAAATATTGATGATCCCACCACTGAAACCTTAACATCTTTTACATTATGATGTTTATTCTTTCCATGCACATATATACAATTTTTAAAAAAATGAAATGAGGGCATCCCCTGGTGGCGCAGAGGTTGAGCGCTGGGCTGCGAAACTGCCCGCAGCCTCTGCAGCATCGGTTCAATCCCCAGCCGCCGGGGAGTGTCCCACATGGCATGCAGACCTCTCCTGCCGCCCACTGCTCCCCTCAGTAGTGTATTTCATCGGTCTGCCTGTTCTGCTCCCTGCTCTGGCTCTGGTGAATTCTCTCACCCTCCCATGCTTCTGACTGTACCCAGTGCTTGTATAAATAAATAAATAAATAAAAAATGAAATGATAAATGTTGCTTAACAATATGCTTTTCCCCTTAACATTATATTGTGAATATTTTTAAAAGTTGCTAAAAATGTTCTTTTGAGAGAAAAGATATTGAGATGTATCCTTTTATTATAAAATTAATACATGCTGATTATATAAGATGCAGACACTATGGAGATGTATGCTACTCTCAATAAGTAAATGTTGTTTAGTGCATATTGTTACACATAATTTTATGAGGATATATCAGCAGATATATATTTTTCTCTAGAAAAGCTTTGACCTAGTGAAGAAGAGAGCTTACTTATTGAAAAGGTACATATTTTGCTAATTAGTTTCAATATGACAAATTATGTATAAGTAATAAATACATCATTTAAAACAATATTTAGGGACAGTCACACATAATTCCACTCCAGAAATATTCAACGTACAAATCCCTATACATGTTGAATCATTGACAATCTTTAAGTAATACTTAGGTAATATGAGTGTTCTGGTCTACATAATGTATACAGGATTGTCCTTCTCAAAGATGATGCTTTTAAAGTCTTCCTCAATTCATTACTCAGTTTTATCCAATAGTCATTCAGTTCTTGTGTGACATAGTATATAGCTTATTATGAATCACAACATAGTTATGATGACAACTAAATGAGAATGTAGGAGTTAGATTGCTTTGTAAGTCATAAACTGGTAAACAAATACTTTGCTATATGATTAAGATAGTTTGCAGATTAGTAAAATGCACAAATGACATTTGTATATGGTAGAATTTCATGCTGATTAAAGAAAGGTAAAATTAAGAAGCAATTAATAGTCAGAGCACCAGGGGTGCATATTCACTTGGGGTTAATAATAATGCCTAGCACCTGGCAGGTGTTTATTATTAAAATGTGTTGACTATTGAGTGGATGAAAGAACCCAGTGAAAAAAATCAGCCAGGAATATAATCATCTAATTCACAAAGAAGAAATCAAAGAGATTAATAGACAAATGAGAATTTGTCTAACCTCACAAGTAAATGCAAATCAAAAACCATAGTCCAAATAAACTTTAACTCATCAAGTTTTCATTCATCAAACTTTAAAATTGGACAATGTTGGGCCTCCTCGGTGGTGCAGCGGGTTGAGCCAAGTGCTGTGAAGCTGTCCACAGCCTCTGCAAGCAGGTTCGAGTCCTGGTCGGCCAGGGAGATTCCCACATGGCGCAGCAGACCTCTACTGCCTCACCTGCTGCACCCCTCAGCAGTGTATTTCAGACAGCCTGCCTGTTCTGCTCCCCACTCTGTCTCTGGTGAATCCTCTGACCCTCCCGCACCTCAGGCCTATACCCCAGTTCTTGTGTAAATAAAAATAAATCTTTAAAAAAAAATTGGACAATGTTTTGGTCAGGGTGCAGAGGAAATGGTATGCTTGTAAAGGGCAGCAATTTGGCTGACTCTAACAAATTGAAACTAGAACAAGCAATTCTACTATCTGATACCTACTTAAGAATCATTCTTGCACATGTGTTCAAAGAGACATGTAAAGGATTTTTACTGCAGCACTGTTCACAAAAAACTGAAGTGAACCAAATATAAATAGAAAAAAGGAATGAAATAGGAGCATATATGTTACAATATTAACAAACAATATTAAAAGAAATAGTCCTATGCATATTAACATAGATAATTTTCATAACATAATTTTGAGGGAAAAAAACAGGTTACAAGATTATCACAGAGGAAGATACTGCTTTATAAACTTCATTAATATAACTGAGATTAAACTGTGTTGTAGATGCCTCGGTAGGTCTGGGAAAAGGCCTAAAGGATACACAGCAAATTTAAGTATTGGTTACTTCTGGAGAACAGGGAAGGGAGAAGACAAGAATAATACTGGGTGGCTTATTAAGAGGGCTTTAACTTTAGGTATAAAATTTTATTTTTTTCATATACCACACAAAGTAAATTTTTTTTTAAAGAGATGATTTTTTTTTAAGTTTATTTATTTATACAAGCACTGGGTACAGTCAGAAGCATGGGAGGGTGAGAGAATTCACCAGAGCCAGAGCGGGTTGCAGAGCAGGCAGAAGGACAGAAGTACACTGCTGAGGGGAGCAGCGGGTGGCAGGAGGGGTCTGCGTGCCATGTGGGACCCTCCCTGGCGGCCGGGAATCGAACTGACGCTGCAGAGGCTGAAGGCAGCTTCGCAGCCCGGCGCTCAACCGCTGAGCCACCAGGGTTGTAAATTTGATAAGAGACAGAAGTTAACATTCTTAATTACTGGTGCTAGAAATATGGGTGATATTTTATACTGTCTTGCATTTGGAAATGGGGCTCTCTCTACATATACAAAAAGTAATTAATTTTCATGATACAAAAAATAAAAAGTATAAAATATCACTCCTTTCATGCCTATTGGCAAATTAAGCAGAGGCAGGTTTCTCTCATATACACGTGCATACACACACACACACATACATATATGTACACCTCTTTTTTTCTACACATAGTAGTATATTATATATTTGAAACCTTCCAATACCTATTCATATAGAAGTTATTTTTCAAAACTACACAGCACTTCATCCCATGGAACATCTCTTTGGGAGGAATTAAAGGGTTGGAAGGGAGAGGGAAAGGAACATTGGGGCTTTGTTGCAGAAGAAAGGGTAACAATTCATTAGACAGTGGTGAAATGTTGAAAGCTCTAGAACACGAATATAAATGTTTAAGATTTGAAAGTTAAAATTTGAGAGTATTTTGCATGCTGAATTGAAGGTGAGATTAATGAGGAATAACTCAGTTAAAATTCTTAGTCAAAGACAAGCAGTAATAAGCACCTGACACATCCTAGTGGTAATTAGAATGAAATGTGGTAACGTGGGCAGGAGCAAATGTGAAATAGAATATATAGGACTTGACAGTGACTGGATGGGAAGGAAACAATCAAAGGTAACCAACTCCAAGTTCTAAGTGGATTTGAAGGAATGAGAAAACCAAATAAACAATTCTTCAAACAGAAATAGGAAAGCCAGAAAGAACTGATTTGATGGAGAAAGAAGTGAAAGTTCATTTTTGGACACCAGGCTTTGTAGTGGATGTCTCAGAAATTCAATGAAAGGAGTTTGGCTAACAGGAGGTATTCAAAATGTCTGGGATAAATTAATGAATGACATGTGATGCAGGAGGTAAAGTAGGTAGTCAGGGCTGGATATGTGGAACTGGAGAGATCTGCATGAAAGTGAAGGCTGAACTTTATGGATGAAAATGAGTGAAAGGGTAGCTCCTCTGTTCTCTTCAGTGTAGGGTGCTGGATATGGCGCCGTGCTTAGGTGATGTGAGTGCTCTGGGCTTCATGATATATACAGAAATCTGTGTTACTAATTGCTATCACTATGTGGTACCACTATTACAGATGGAAGGACACAGTGAAAAACATTGCTGGAGCAGACAACTCTGGCATTTAGGAAGTTGGGTGGTTGAGAACATATGACTGATTGATGAAAAAGGTGAGTTACCCATCCATGCCACCTGTCTAGTGGCCATGAGACCATCGGGTACTAATATCCTTGTTTACTGTTTTGACATACTGCACCAGAATTTTATGGGCTGGAAGAAAGTGAAAAACAGAAAAAGTAAGGGTTCAACTCTGGCTGCCATTACTGGGAAGTGGGTATGGGAATAAGCAACAAATGGATTGTTAGTGTTTTTGAAGACTGTGAATCAACATACATCTGTGTATACTGCTGAATCATCCACGGTGTTGTAAACCAATTTTACCTTAATAAAAAAAATGTATTTAAAAAGAAAGTCAAATAACAAAAAAATACTGTATTGCATATTTGAAAGATGGTAAGAGTACATCTTAAAAATCCTCATCATAAGAAAGATTATTACTATAGTCTTAGAAGAATGGTAGATTATATTATATACACACATATATGTATCTATCTATCTATCTATCTATCTATCTATCTATCTATCTATCTATCTATCTATAATGTCTTTCTATTAATAAGACTTCTTTCTCTCCAGATATTAAACTAACATGAAGAAAAATAGCATCAGCACACAATACAGTTTTGTAAACATTCCCAATGTGATTGTTCCAGAGATTGAAAAGGAAATAAGAAGGATGGAAAATGGAGCATGCTGGTAAATTCATGTATTTTTCCATGCATTTTTAATACCCAACCACAGTTCTTAAATTTAACTGGATTTAACTTTAAAATTTAACCTTCAACTTTGAAACTTAATTTAGTGAGTTTGTTTATATTTTTGAAAAGCATTGTTTGTCTAACAAGTGAGCATAGATGTTATTGTGGTGATTATTTAGAGATACCTATGCCTAATATTTCCTTTATCTGTGACAAGGCCTGTCCTCATGGGACATTTCAAATCTAAAGGGATATCATTGTCATCAACAAATATGGGAAAAAACTCATATATTATGAGATAATGTTTTAAAATTATAATTTAAAGTGTTTTCCCCATAAACAAATGGAATGTGTATATGTGTTTGAATTTATTTTTAGTGGAAGGAAATGCTATTACAAATTAGTTCATCAACTGTATAATATGACCTAAGACATAGATTTCAGACTTTCTATTTGAGAAATATTAACATCAACCAAGGCATTAAACAACTGATAGGTGGAAGACTTAGAAAGTAATTTCTCAATTATAAACATTTTACTGAATTGTGCCTATAGCTTACTTATGTTTTCTGTTTAGTGTTCATTTCACCCTAAAACCTGTGTGTGTTAATTTGAGAGCGATGAGATAACACTACCCCCAATGAGAAATTTTCCTCCTGTGCAATAGTTTAAAACATGGACCTAATTTACTTCTGCTTCCCACTGGACCATAGCTCCTTTTCTGATGGCAATGACAGTGCCTCTGTATTTGGAGACTCAGAGAGTGATACCCCTCATGCAAGGGATTCCTCTAGAAGCACCTCAGGCAGAAGGGGAGGACCATCACAGAGGTGAGTAGTGTGATCTCTTTCTCCATATCTATTTTTAAACTATGATTTGGATGAAAGGAAGGTCTCTTCTTCACTCTAAGAGCTTGGCAAATGCTCCTCCTACCCAGTCACTATGTAGGTACCTGGGGGTAACTTGTTGCTTCTGTCTTACCTTTTTCCTCTCTTGGAAAGCTGCCACTGCCTGATGCTGACAGTGATGATGATGACGACCCTGATGAACTTTCCTGTTCATGATGCTCAGAGTCATAAGTACTCTGGCTGTTCATTTTCCCTGAGGCCTTATCTATCCTGTGAGAAACCTCAGACCCCAATCTTCTTTGATTTACTCCTTCTTGTTGACCCTTCTTCCAGCTTCTGGAAGCAATTGTAGTGAGAGGGGTTGGCTGTCATTTTCTAATGCTCTGTCCTATGTGATCCCACATCAGGGAAGCAAAGCACTGATGTGAATAACTAGAAGAGAAAAAGTAAAAATTCCTGATAGGAAATAAAGTTGTCATGGAAGCATCAACTTTGAGGGTGTGGAAGGACTGTGGTGTGGGTATGGATCAGGGACTTCCACCCAGGGAATGTATTTAGTTTTTCATTGTTTTTTTTCCTTCCTATTTTTTCCCACTGACCTCACCTCACTGTTTTTATGTCTTTTCTTCTTTTCCTGTCTTTTATGACAATCTAAGTCTTAACTCTCTTGCTGGAAGTTAGAAGCATCCCAGTTTGGCTCATGCAAGGCTAATTTTTGGTGTGAGTCTTGACTAGTTGGCATTTAGTCATCTCTTTGGTTCATGGCACTGATACTCATCAACTCATGCTTCATTGAGCTTCTGTATTTTCAAAAATGTTCAAAACAATTGTTAGTAGTGAGTCAAAACTGAAAAGAATGTGTTCAGTCTGTTTGCTTACATTGGGCATTATATAGATGTTGACTATTAGGAATTCACTGTACTTTTTCACTTCTCAGGGATCAGTGCCTGCCTGGTGCCATTGCACTTTTCAATGTCAACAACAGCAGCAATAAAGACCAGTAAGTACATTTGTAAGAGAAAATCAAACCTATATTTTAAAGAAAGTAGGAATTCACCATTAAAATGGTAGGAATATATCTGAATCTGGCAGATCTTTATTAGGCAAATTCTAATATAATGGCAATATCATTCTATTATTTTGTTCTTTGGTTATTTATTTCTGAAAAATGTTGCTAACCATATTAAAAGTAGTATTTATTTCCTCCTTTATTTGAATACATGTAGAAAAACCTTGTCTATAGTGTACATGCAATTCCATCTCCTTGTGGATAAGGGTGGCTGGCAAAAATAACTGAAACATTATAATGCTTTCCATTTCTGAGCCGATAGAAAATTCACATTTTCTGCAAACAACTCCTCTAGCATTTTTGTTTTTCTGTTTTCCTAGTTAATGGGTAAACTAAGGTCCCTGACAACTACAGCAGGCCTTAAGGGTTCAATTGAAATTCCTTGTTTCCTCTAGAATGAATATGCTCACCTTGGCCAGTGCTTCTTCTGGCCTACATGGTTTACTTGGTGGAATGAATGAAACAGACCCTCATCTCTAAAGAATTTGAATCCCTGGCCACCATGCCCTCCATGGGTGACAGCTGCTGTATTTGCCTATTTACCACTAAAATTCAGCGGGGCATACTAAAAGACACCATGATGGGTCCCCTGGGTGCCAAATATATCCCCCCTCCATTGTGTTTGATGATCAAGGTCAATTACTTTTACCAATTATAGTAACTCCCTTTTTGCCTATTAGCTTCTTGATTTGAGAGGTCTGAAGTGACTGGGGAACAGTCACAGCTTAATGCTTAAACACCAGGAACCCGAAGCCCAAAGAACCTGAAGTTATGGACATGAAAATACACATTCCCAATATGAATCCCCCCTTACATAGATTCTTTAGTTCCAAGACTCATGCATTCTCTGTAGGCATACAGTACCATATAAGGTCACTGATTAAGTGTATGTACAGTGTCCTGGAGGATGGTGCTTCATTTTCCTCAGGTATCAAATCTGCAACAGAATCTCAGCTGTGTCTTCAAAATATTGCTCCATAATCCATTAGGTCAGCAGCTTCTGTATGGTGCCCATAGGATATGGCCATAGAGAGGATCCCATACTCAGTGTCCATTGACACATCTCCTTTGCTGTGAAGTGAGTCCCTCGGTCCAACATGGTATCATACTCTAAGCTACTGGAAAGTGGCACTGGTCAAAGTCTTGTGGCAAAACAACAAATTAGTACTCATAATACATATTGATTCAAATCAAGATATTAAATGCCCCCTCCATAAGAGAAGGGATATAATGAAATTAACTTGCCATTAAGTGACTGACTGCCTTCCTTAAATTATGTTACTAAATTGGAACCAGAGCTTAGAGGTCTCTGTAACTGACAGTTTACAACAGTTGCAAGATCCCGTTGGGGACCGGTGTGTTGGATCCATACAGAAACTCCGGCTTAATGCTATGGTTGCTTCGTTCACACCTACATTGTGCCAGCACTGGAGATGCTGATGCCAGGGGCTGCCTGTGTCATCTGTCCACTTAGTTTCTTTGTGTCTTCTCCATTGCATTTGCTCTTTAATGGACATTAATGTGGGATGCAAAGACTTTCAAACTTTGTGCTCACATGTATAAATCCTTTCTGTCTGCCTGTTTTCTAAAACTATGTTTTCCTCATCTTTCAATCTCTTTCTGCCAGATCCCCAACTAAGCAGCCTAGTATTGTGACTGCCTGTGAACCTTTGTATATTCTTAATTTGAGCCATTTCTTTTCCCACACAAAGTGGGTGATTATGCACTCTTCAAGCTATGCCATTGGAAGATTAACCTCTCTGCTTTTAGGAATTAGAATGTAATTTGATTATGTGACAGAGATATTGATTTTTCTTTAGAGAACCACAAGAAAAAAAGAAAAAGAAAAAAGAAAAGAAAAGGTAAGTTAGATTTTGGCATGAATGACCCCATATTTTTCTGCTCATAATATTTTCATATTTTAATACTTATTATATATCTCACTTTTCAGCAAGTTGGATGATAAAAGTGAAGATAAAAAGGACCCAGAAAAGAAAAAGAAGAAAAAAAAAGACAAAGAGAAGAAAAAGAAAGAGGAGAAAGGCAAAGATAAGAAGGAGGAGTAAGTATTTTCACTGGTATTGAAATTAGGAATGAATTTGTGATAGGTTTTGGATGCAGGGATAATTTTCTGAAACTTAATAGTACTAGCAAGGAAGCCCTGTGTAAAGTCTAAGTAATTGTTCTCAAATGCGTATTTTAAAATGTTTCCAATTTTTAGCAATGGTAGCCTTATTCTTAGTTTTCTCATTCAGTTTTTTTTGTTCCAGTTAATTCTGTTCCACACGTTCTGGCAAAGGTAAACTTATAATTGGAAGATATTTAGGTTTCAAAGAGAACCAGGTTCCTAGGATCTTACCATTAACTTTTAAGATTGAAATAAAAGCATAATAATTTTATTAATATTTTTGTGTAATAAGTTCTGCATGGCAAATACTATTAAGATGTCTCATTGCAAAAGCCATGTCTAATTTTGAGGGAAAGACAAATGCTATCAAAACACTACCTAATTTCTGGCCCTCCCTGCTGGTGCAGGGGTTAAATTCTCAGCATTATTAAGCTATCTCCAGCCACTGTAGCCTGAATTTGAACCCAGCCTGAATTTGAACCCAGCCAGGGAGTTGACCCACATGGCAGAGCGGACCTCTCCTATATCGCCCACTGCTGCCCTCAGCAGTGTATTTCAGTCAGTCCACCTGTTCTGCCCCCACTCTGTCTCTGGTGAATCCTCTAATCCACCTTCTTCCCCCTGACCTCTGGCCTACACCCCTGTTCTAGTATGCCTAAATAAATAAAATAAGTCTTCAAAACAAAACAAAGCAAAACAAAACAAACACTAGCCATTTTCTGAGAGTTCACGGGTCTTTGTGGTGGTAATTTTATGGGAACAACACCTAAGATGAGAAATCAAGCATTGTACAAAAATAAGCAATGATGTAAAATATATAAATAAATTAAAAACAGGGCCTCCCTGGTGACGCAGGCGGTTGAGTGCCGCTCTGTGAAGCTGTCCACAGCCTCTGGAGCGTGGGTTCGATCTCGGCCAGCCAGCGAGAATCACACATGGTGTGGCAGACCTCTCCTGTCTCGCCCACTGCTCCCCTCAGCAGTGTGTTTCATCAGTCTGCCTGTTCTGCTCCCCACTCTGTCTCTCGTGAATCCTCTCACCCTCCTGCATATCTGGCTTGTGCCCCAGCACTTGTATTAAAAAAAAATTAAAAACAAACAAAAAAACCACCAGCCATTTTCAATGGTCTTTTTTAAAACAAACATTTGAGAGTTACAGTTTCAGAAGGGTAAGGCTGAGTGAGATTTGCAAAGCTATATTTTTACTTTTCCACTAAGGGAACGCTGCTTTCTAAGTTTCCTTAAACTGTTTACCAGACAATGGTTCAATTATTAGAAAATTATTAGGAGCCTCCCTGATAGCACAGGTGGTTGAGCACAGCACTGTGAAGCTATCCACAGCCTCTGCAGTGCAGGTTCGATCCAGCCAGCCAGGGAGCTACCCACCTGGCGAGGCAGACTTCTCCTGTCTCCCCCGCTGCTCCTCTCAGTAGTGTATTTTGGGCATTCTATCTGTTCTGTTCCCCACTCTGTCTCTGGTGAATCTTCTCACCCTCCTGCACATTTGGCCTGTACCCTGGTTCTTGTATGCATAAATAAACAAATTTTTTAAACAAAGAAAGAAAGAAAATGATTAGAAACACTTTAAAGCTGGGCCTCCCCGGTGGTGCAGTGGTTGAGCGCTGGGTTGCGAAGCTGCCCACAGCCTCTGCAGCACCGGTTCCATCCCCGGCTGCTCCCCGGCCACTGGAGGAGGGTCCCACATGGCGCACAGACCTCTCCTGCCGCCCGCTGCTCCCCTCAGCAGTGTACTTCGGTTCTTCTGCCTGCTCTGCTCCCCGCTCTGGCTCTGGTGAATTCTCTCACCCTCCCACGCTTCTGACTGTACCCAGTGCTTGTATGTATGTATAAACAAATAAATAAATAAACAAACAAATAAATAAATCTTAAAAAAAAACACTTTAAAGCTGTCAAAAGGGAAAGTCCTTAGAATATAGGCTTGATACTAGAAAATATTTTTTTTTGGAAAATATTTTAAAATTTCTTTTGACCATATATTTTTTTCCTTTCCTCTTATCCTCTACTGCCACTCTTAATCCTTCATACACACTTATAAATAAATACATTTTACTAGGTATGTTATATTCTCCTTTCCATATAGATGAGAAGGGAGACATGTGATCCTCCTCTCAGTGTAGTTTTGGTTGGTTTATTACCTTGCAGGGGGGTGGCAAAGGCCTCATTCAACTATTACCCCATAACCTTCCCAAGGGGTCTGTAGAATTTGCCTCAGAATTTGCCAGATCTACACTACTCTTCCCTCTCAGTGACTCAAGTGACAGAAGTATTTACAATCACTGTAAAGCAAGGATTTCATAAATTCTAAAGCATGGTTGAATGTAAGATGAACAAGTTCACTAACTACCCCTTAACATACCATATTGGATATGTGGAAAAAAAAGTTCCTATTTCTTGGTAACTTTCCTATTTATTTCTAATTGCTTGTTAGGGAGAAAAAAGAAGTCTTGATTATTGACCCATCAGGAAACACCTATTACAACTGGCTGTTCTGCATCACCTTACCTGTCATGTACAACTGGACTATGATTATTGCAAGGTGTCTATACATTTTCATGGGTCTTGACCCACTTCTAGTTTCCAAGTTAATGGGCTAATCAGTTTGACCTACAGCTTTCTCTACCAGAGGTTGTAAAGAGAGGCTGTACTATTCTTAATGTGTGTTCCTGAGGTCAGGAGTAGGTTCTTAGTAGCTTTGGAACTCCATGCAGGGATGGGGCAGAGGAGGGAATTTTAAACGTTTGATGGGTCAATTATTTAACTGGAACTTTGGGGAAAACTTCACACATTTTTGACCTGCAAGAAAAAATATTCCCAAGAGTAGAAAAAGATCAAGGATCTAGGTTGTTCGAGAGCAAGATGTGTCTCCCAAGCAACTGCACAGTTCCCTTTATTTTAGACAGTCAACATCTTTGCCATCCAGGAACAAGTGCAATTTCCTGAAGCATTTTGGGTATAGAGAATCAGTATAAACCTGTCCATCAATGTGTTTCACCCACATTTTGACTTTACCTTGAGACCATTTATGTTTTCACAACGTCAACTATTATTGTCGGAAGAATATTGTGATTCAGAAGTATGAGAAAACTCACACTTGACACTCAAAAGCATTGGGGAAAGCCAGGACCAAATGGACTAAAGGACCCTCCTCTCCTTAGTGTGGGATATTTCTCTATGTGATAAGAAATATGCAAAGAGGACTTCTATTCTAATTGGACCTCATTTCATTTTATTTATACTGTTTTTCTTTTTCAGAGCGTGTTTTGATGAACTTCAATCTGATTACCTAGAATATTGGCTCTTTTTTGATTACATATCAGATTTAGTCTATCTTCTCGATATGTTTGTACGAACAAGAACAGGTAAATATGCTCTATTGTGGCTACTTTGTAATTTCATGCTTTTATCTCTGTGATTTTCATTTCTTCAAATATTTTTTAAAAATAAACTCACAAACATCTATTTTAGAGAAAAAAGCATAGTTAAATGCAAGAGTATCATATGCTCACTCACAGGCATTACCACTGCAAAGGATTCAAAAGGACATTACTAAGCAAACTTTTGAATATGGATTGGTGGTTTTCCTACATTATCCCATTCATTGGGTTTATGCCAGGTGAGAGGAATAGAGACAACAGAAATATTCTGCCAGCTCTGCAGGAAAAGAGTAATTTCTATGTAGCAAAGAATACCTTGAGATATGGGGAAAAATACCATTGTACCCAACAGGGAGGTACTAGAAATTTTATAAGAAATAGAACAGATGTCCTTAACTCAACTATGTTGTTCATAGTGAGGCAATATTAATAAAGGGACAGGATATGTTAGCTTTCTATTTGAAGTATTCTTGTTCAGTAGGTATAAGCTCATTCTTTACACATACAAATGTAGCCAAAGTACACAGAACAGAGTTTTTAAGAAACACTATGTGTAATAGGGTCGTTCTCTAAATATCAGTGTGCTGGAACAATACTGCCATTGTTCTGTGCTATTTGAAGCTTTGGTAGTCAATATGGGAGGGAATGCTTTCCCTAGTGTTACATATCAGTGTGCTGACATCCTGGATTTTATACATAAGGTAAATGGTAGCAGTGAAGGAGAAGGTACAATCCCATATGTCTAAGCCTGGTGGGTAAGTAGGGGAGATGAAAATGAAGCCTTGGGGGACATTTATGCTTCACTTTGAAGGGTAAAGCATGAATATGCATGATAGATAAACAGTAGGCCAGGTATCCAAGCTTCAAAGGTAGGGTTGGGCTTCTGACAATAGAGTGATGAGAGGCATTAAGCACAGTGCTAGGGTGTTGAGGAAATGCTCCAAGAACACTGTTCATAAAAGGAATGACTTTGGCTGGATGGGCATGACTCTAGAGAGGTTTGTATATATTGTATGTGTGTGTTGCATGCATATGATTTATCACTTTTGTATTTAATGAAATTTTACCTTTTATTTCTGCAAAAGAATATTTTCCAGCCATATGTTGATTAGTACTTGTACCTTAACATTAATTGGAAATTAATTCTTGTTTTGAATTCAGTGAAGTCCATTTAGAATTAAGAAGACTTCACGATGCTATTGAGAAGGAAAAGTACTGAATCAACTTTGTTTTTTCTATTTTAGGCTACCTAGAACAAGGACTGCTGGTGAAGGAAGAACTTAAACTCATAGAGAAATACAAATCAAACTTGCAATTTAAACTTGACGTTCTATCAGTGGTACCAACTGATCTGTTGTATTTTAAACTAGGGTGGAACTACCCAGAAATTAGATTAAACAGACTGTTAAGGATCTCTCGTATGTTTGAGTTCTTCCAGAGAACAGAAACAAGGACAAACTACCCAAACATCTTCAGGATTTCTAATCTCGTTATGTATATCATCATCATTATCCACTGGAATGCATGTGTGTACTACTCTATTTCAAAAGCTATTGGATTTGGAAATGACACATGGGTCTATCCTGATATTAACAATCCTGAATTTGGCCGTTTGGCTAGAAAATATGTATACAGCCTTTATTGGTCTACACTGACTCTGACCACCATTGGTGAAACACCACCTCCTGTGAAGGATTCTGAGTATATCTTTGTAGTGGTTGATTTCTTAATTGGAGTGTTAATTTTTGCTACCATTGTTGGCAACATAGGTTCCATGATTTCCAACATGAATGCAGCCAGAGCAGAATTTCAAGCAAAAATTGATGCTATCAAGCAATATATGCATTTTCGAAATGTAAGCAAAGATATGGAAAAGAGAGTTATTAAATGGTTTGACTATCTGTGGACCAACAAAAAAACAGTGGACGAGAAAGAAGTCTTGAAGTATCTACCTAATAAACTAAGAGCAGAGATTGCCATCAATGTCCACTTGGACACACTCAAAAAGGTGCGCATTTTTGCAGACTGTGAAGCTGGTCTGTTGGTGGAGTTGGTCTTGAAATTACAACCCCAAGTCTACAGTCCTGGAGATTACATTTGTAAAAAAGGGGATATTGGACGGGAGATGTACATCATCAAGGAAGGCAAACTCGCCGTGGTGGCAGATGATGGAATCACTCAGTTGGTGGTATTGAGTGATGGCAGCTACTTTGGTGAGATTAGCATCCTTAACATTAAAGGCAGCAAAGCTGGCAATCGAAGAACAGCTAATATTAAAAGTATTGGCTATTCAGATCTCTTCTGTCTTTCAAAAGATGACCTCATGGAAGCTCTAACTGAGTATCCAGATGCCAAAGCTATGCTAGAAGAGAAAGGGAAGCAAATTTTGATGAAAGATGGTTTATTGGATATAAATATTGCAAATTCTGGAAGTGATCATAAAGATCTGGAAGAGAAGTTTAACCAGATGGAGGGGTCAGTAGACCGCCTACAAACAAGGTTTGCTCGGATCCTTGCTGAGTATGAATCAATGCAGGAGAAATTGAAGCAAAGACTAACCAAGGTTGAGAAGTTCCTGAAACCAATTATTGACACAGAATTTTCAGCTATTGAAGGCTCTGAGGTTGACAGTGGGCCTAAGGAATCTATACAGGACTGAAAAGCTACTTATTTACAAGGATACACAATGATCCTTTGGAGGATCTGATTAAAGCACCTTTAAGTTGGGATAAAGACTCCCAGGGGAATTTTTCCATAAGAAAAATGTGCTTTGGTGCAGGGCACAAAGTCCGTATTCTCAGTTTTGAAGTACTATGATTAAAGAATCATTATGTCTCAGGATTTTTTTACAATGGATAATGTGCGCAAAGATATAGATCAATTAACTGTCAATGTCTATATCTTGTGATTTTTTTCACACATGTTCTTTTTGTGTAATAATATTTATGAAAGTGAAAAAATATCCCTCACTTTCAGACAATTTTTTTAAAGATTTATTTATTTATTTATACAAGAATCGGGGTACAGGCCAGATGCGCAGGAGGGTGAGAGTATTCACCAGAGACAGAGTGGGGAACAGAACAGGCAGACTGACGAAATACACTGCTGAGGGGAGCAGCGGTGGAGACAAGAGAGGTCTGCCATGCCATGTGGGACCCTTGCTGGCCGGCCAGAATAGAACTGGTGCTGCAGAGGCTATGGACAGCTTCACAGCACTGCGCTCAACTGCCAGCGCCGCCAGGGGAGGCCCTCAGGCAATTTTTATTGTTGAAGAGTAACTGGGAATTACATGTACATCATGTACAGGGTACCATTTAAAAGGAATTAGAATGCAATATAATAAATACATTCCAAAGCTATAGTGCATATTATTTATGTGATGACTTAGCAAGGAGTTTAAAATCTTGTAAAGTTTCAGGATTATTTTGAGAACATTAACCATTGTACGCTAGGACTTAGGAAGGGTGGTTGAGAGAAAATTCATACTGATAACAGCATGACAAATCAGACCTTATTATACAAATGTATATATAATTGAAAATCATAAAATGTTGTAGGATTCTCTTACTTTAAATTTCTCTAACTATTAAAACTCGACAGCAGATCTTAAGATCTTTCTTCTCTAGCCATAAGAAAACTGGCTAACAATAATATGGCTGGCTGATAAACAATGGAAATTGTTGTCATGTTTGAAAAGGAGACCTGAAAATTCTATGGTCCAGCCTGAGCATCATCTGAGAGTTTCTTACAAATTCAGAATCTCAGGCCCTCCCCAGACCGACTCTATCAGAATCTGCATTTTAGCAAGAACTTGAATGATTCATAACCATGTTAAAACTTGAGAAGCATTTATTTAGAGAACCTGGAAGGATTCAATGGGAGATGATTCCAGAAAGTATGATGAGTCTGAGACCACAGATGACATCGTTCATCAATTGTACAGTTACCTACTACTGAATGCAGATGGAATTTAAAAAATTATTTTACATATCACTGAAGTTGATTTAAGATTTCTATCCCTGCTTATAATAACATGACTTAATGTGACTTCTTGCTAAGCTGACATTGCTGATATTTATGTGGACCTCAATCAACGCATGCCAATGGTAGGATTTATTTTACTCTACTATCCATTGAACTGTACATTATTGCTTTGCAGTTTTATGTTTTCCTTTTACATTTTGTCTACATTTTTGAAGACAGTATCGCTTGGTAATTATTTCTTAATTGTAGAGGAAATGGCTAGTCCTGGGGTGAGTAGGTGATAAGTAATATGTAGTATGATTTCTGCCTGATACAAGTGCTTCTGTCCCTCTCTTTTCCTTCTTACTCTTATCATTCATTTATTTTCTTATCATATCACTCAGCTATGCTATAAAGACATAAATACAAAGACAAGGGAGGATTAGTTTGAAATTCTTTAACAATGGCATCTGAAAGGAACTAATAGAATGCTGGAACTCATAGATGGCAGATCAGTGAGGGAATAGAAACCCAACAACCTGATTTGCTGGTATTGTTAATACATGTTTACCCTGCACTCCCATCTAATAATTATAATGTAATGTTCTCAAAGGAAGATATCACTTCAAAATTTTGTATATATTTTAAAATATTTTTCTTGAAGTAACTTTGATTTATAGATTATATAGGTTCATGTATAACACAATAATTTGACATCTATATATACTACATTATGATCCCCATTAAAAGTCCAGTTTTCATCCACTACCATATATATGACCCCCTTTACCTGGTATTCTCTTTGGTAATTACCACTTTATTCTCATAATCTGTGGTTTTTAGGTTTTGTTTTATTTCCATATATGAGTGAAATCACATGGTATTTGTCTTTGACTTATTTCACGGAACAATTATCTCTAGGTCTATCCATGTTGTCATAAATGACAATATTTCTTTTTTAAATAGCTAATTAGTATATCATTTATATAGAACACATAGTTTTCATCCATTCATCTGTCCACAGACACTCAGGTTTTTCCAGAACTTGACTGTTGAAATAAAAATATTTTGCATATATTGAGGACAAAAATTTCCAACTTGAATTATAATGTGGCTAAGCTTCTTACCATTAGGTGGCGATGTTGGTCTACGAGTATAAACTTCAAAGCACGAAACTGTATTTTTCTCCATAGAAATTACGAGTAGTAAAATCAGAGCTATTTAACAATAATGGGTAATTTTTTTCTAGCATGTATATTTCCAGAAGATTTTAGTATAGCAAAATATGCTAATCTAAAATGAAAACATGATCAAATAAAATATAAAATGAAAATTTGATAAAGTAACAAGGTTAATGGAAACACTTACTCAGTATTTCTTAACTTCAGGAAGTTCAACAAGGCAATAATGATAATTACATATCATAAGAAACTTACCAATCTGTAAGATATGTATTGCAGGTAAGTAAAAGGGAGCATGCAAGATTTATTCAGTTTATATTTTTACTTTCAAAAAGTCTATTACTTTAAAAAGTTTAAAAACTGCTCACCTGTTTTAATAGTGCTAGAGTTATGCCTGGCTAAGCACTGCCAATCTAGGTATTGTTGTTCCTTAGGACAATGAAGTTGTATTATTGGATATCCTTGTTTAAAGGCTGTTCAGAATATAAAACACCAAACCCCAGACTTAAAGACTCAGAAGAGATAATTTGCTATTCACTGCATTAGTTTATCTTTAGGTGAAGGGAGAAAGTAGGAAATTCAAGAAAGGAAATCAGAGAATATAGAAAATGTGAATAGACTCTTGAGATTATCCATTGTAGTTCATACCTCTTCATTTTACAAATACAGAGATGATAATCAGGCAGTACTGAAATTGGTGGGGATGAAGAGTATCAAGAAATTTGAGTAAAAGGGAGGACTTTTGCTATACAATGGAGAACAATATGCAATTATTAGTTAGAGCCCAAAGGTGAACTGACATAAAACCCATCACTTCTTTTATATTTATTTATATGTATATATTTCACATCATTGTTCATCTTTTTACAATGTTTGATTTCTCCTCTCAGGTGTAGTCCCCATAAAATTCCCACCCCCAAGTCACCCATGAACCATCACCATAGTCTCTGTGCTCTTCCTCCCACACCCCCATTTTAGCCACTATTCCTCCCCCTCCCCTGCTGATGTCTCTTGATATATAGTTGCCTGTTAATTTTGTCTCCCCTCATCCTTTGTTTGGATCCCCTGCATTCCTCCTATAAGTGAAACCATCTGATATTTTCCTTTCTCCTTCTGACTTATTTTACTGACCATGATCCCTTCCAGCTCTATCCATGCTGCTGCAAATGGCATGAGTTTATCTTTTTTGATTGCTGAATAGTGTTCCATTGTGTATGTATACCACATCTTCTTGATCAAGTCATCTGTTTGGGTGCAAATTAAAACCCATCAATTTCATTCTTAGGCAGTCACTAGAAAATCTGCCACATTTGTACAGAGACATGTTGAGGAATGTTTATAATAGCAAAAAGTTGGAAACAAGTTAAATGTTCATTAAAAGGACACAAAGATATAGGAGTTGGAATGTATTCATACAGTGAAAATGTTTAAGTAGTAGCAGGTTACTCTTCCATAGTGCTAAGTTTGGGCCAGGCACTGCTTTGGGTATATTTCAGATGTCAATGCATTTAATCCTCATGACAACCTATAGCAGGTTCCATTATGCTCTCTGTTTGACAGATGAGATAACAGAATCACAGAAAATTTATGTCATTTGCTCACAATGCACAAGGAAGGAAGCAGCATAACCACTAATCCAAGCTAGACAGTGTGGCTCCAGCCTGTCTTCTCTTACCCCTTTCATTTGTGCTGACTCTTGAATGTACACATAATGTCATCTACACAAAATTTACAAACATACAATGCACTCCTAAATAGTGTGTATTGATCTGTACCTATTATGTAACAGTTTCATAACTGGCATGGGAATGATAAACAGTAGAAATCAGAAAAGTGGCTTCTTCTGTGGGGGTTGGAGAAAATGAGATGGGAGGAAGAGTGAGAAATTCATGGGATTTCAGCAGTATGGGCTGTTTTCTTTTAAAATAACCTGAAACAAATAAATCCAAATGCTATGATTTGACAAACATAGGTAAAAATATGTATATAGAGTCTTAATTTTGGCATATTTGAACTTTTTTAAAAAATGAAACAGGAGAAACAGAAAAATCTAAATTCACATAGCTAGTTTAGTGACAAAATCTGAACTTTCCACTCTTGGTTATGTCACTCTGAGGTTGTATTTGCTCAAGCTGAGGGCTTCTTGGGTTTCGATTTGATGATAATATGCCTGTTACCTGTATGTTTCCACTTTAAGCTGGTCAGAGTGCATACTCAGATTTGAGACAATACTTTCTAGAATTACATTTTATGTCTGGTTCTTGGTTTCCTGACAAGTTAGAGGTGAAAGAATACACTTTTCACCAATGCATTCCTTTGGGATTCTGAAAAAAGCAATTTACCACAAAATTACTCACCAGCTTGACAATGTTGGCCCTGAAAAGAGTTGATATTGGATTTCTTGTCAAATTCCCATTTCTCCTCTTTTCATTTTTGTTTTATCTGGGCTAAGCTTCAGCCAGTTGGCCTTGGGCCAAGAAGCTACTTTGAGTTAGTTCTTCAGGGAGAGAGAGAG